TTGGAGCGGAGACATGGAGTAGAGGAGAAGGGGGTGGAGTGTGGGACGGGAAAGGGGTTTCGATAGGAATTTTATGTGGGATCGGACTGTTCGATCTGACGTGACGGACATTTTAGACTACCCTATTTCTTCCCTCGATTAGAGGCGGGACTGGGGATACCTGATTGTCCGGAATATCCAGACAAACCCATTGGATGATAATTCCGGTCCAAACAAATAGGGTGAGAGGCAGAAGTCCGTTAGAGATGTCCTAATAAGTAAATCGAACTCTTGCCGTAATGTTACCCAACGAACGTCAGCTGGGAGGGGGTGGCAAGTGAACATCATTTGATGGCAGTTTTAGTTGTGAGGAAAGATCAAACTATGACAGTTTCACTTCTTCTTCGGTACAACCCCCCTAAACACATCGACGGTGGAGATCTGTTTATACCCCTTCATAATAAAGGGTATGATGGTCTTTCTTAAGTTGATGATGGTCTTTTTTTTGTCCGCTAGCATTTATACGATACCCAACCTACGCAGGACTGGGCCGGGCCCAATGGTGATGGTTGTAGTAATCGCGCCCTCTTCACTGGAAGTAAAAATTGAAAAGAAACCTAAAACAAGTGGAGGTACCTGGATTCGAGTCGCAGACCTCTTGCTGCAAGCGTGAGTGGCTCTCCAATTGACCCCGCTAATGACTGTGTTAACTAATGACCGTGAACTTAAAAGCAAACAGCAGGGAGCGCGCCTGTTCGCGTAAAAAGTCACAAAAGAAATGAACCGGCTAGGAATCTAACCACATATCTCTTGCAACAACCGCGAGTGGCATACCAATTAAGCTGACTAATGTTTGTGCAAAACGAGGAGCGCACATATTTAAGAACTAACACTAATGCAGAATTCTGAATAAATTTCAAACATTTGTTGGAAATTCTGAATAAATTTTTACAAATCAAATAATGTTTTAAAATCCAACAGTTTCAAAAATTTCATTTTTTTAGAAGCATGACATATTTCGAAAATTTTGAACAACATTTTTTAAAAGCATGAACATTTCAAAAAAAAAGAAGAGATATGTTAGTTTAAAATGTTAAGAATATTCTTTTGAACAACATTTTCAATAATTTTAAGGAGATATGAGGAGCGTGCTAACTTAAGAAGTAACATTCTGAACAATTTTATGAACACAACTTGAACACTTGCTTTCTTTCTGGCTTATTATGTGGCAAATGTAACTTCGTGAAGTTTTAGGCCGTTTTTCATGTTTTTTAAAACCGGGCTTTATTCTGGTTTGTTTTCCTTTTTTATTTTCTTCCTTTGTTTCCCTTTTTATTTTTTTCCTGTTATTTCAAATGTGTGAACCTTTTCAAATAAAAAAAATCATGAATTAGTTCTCAAAAATTTCAATCCTTTTCAATTTCTTGATCTTATTTTTCAACTTTTTTGGAAAACTTTCAACATGAATATTTTTTCAGCATCGATGAACTTATTTCAAATCTACAGACGCTTGGGCCGACCCAATAGGTGTGTGACCGGAGTGATGAGATCACCCATCAGGGTGGTGTCTGGTAGAAATTGAAATTTCCATTTTTACCATTTGTTTTTTATCTTGGTTAGCCAACCTAAAACTCAAAAATGTCAACCCAATACAACAAATGATATTTCGTTAACCAACTGATTTGGTTTGGTTTTTGGTTTATAATGAAAATGTTTTAGAGCACACGCACAAGCTACGACACAGCTACTAGTGCTTCCCTTGTGCCGTTCTCTAATATCCATGGCCACCTTTATCCTCTGAGGATACCTACACGATGTGGTACTAAACAAATAAAACGTTTGCCGCTGCATGCTCTGCCTGCCCGCAGTACTAGTAGTAGCCCTTGGGCCTTGCAATTAGGTGGACAACGAAACCTCGCAATAGCTTGGCTGGTTTAGCTCTTACATGGTGAACAAAGCATGCATTGGGCCCTTCGTATCTTGCATGGTTGGACACGCGTGCGATTGAGCCTTTGGTGTTGGGTGACACGCATGACTGCATGAGGGAGCATCGTACTGGATGCCTGGATTTCGGTTTTTTCTTTCAGTTATACGGTTTAATACCGAACCTGATTTGAATTCGGTTATTACAAAGAAAAAAAATCCAATTTTTGGACTCTTGAAATGATCCCATTTTTTCAAGCATGTGGGTAAGGTAGGCATACATGTTAGGTTTGAATTATTTTCGACACCATACGCAAGTTGTGACACGTCCAGCCATTTATTTGTCTTTTTCGACCGAGAAGACTCTGAAAAATGCAAAACTTGTCGAAAACCTAAGAAACTTGGCGTGGTGCCTTGAATTGTCATACAAGGGCATGCAAAAATTAGGGCCATTCTAGGATATTGGGAAGCAATGTGTTCTCAGGCGGACCCTTCTGTCCTACTCGGACACCATCCGTTGATTATGGTTTTTTTGGACATCCTAGAAATGAACCCAACTTTTGCAAGCAGGTGGGCATGCCCATGTTAGGCATCCATACTAGATTTGAACAATTTCTGACACCATATGAAATTCGCGTCACCTCCGGCCATTTATCAGCATTTTTTGACCAAGAAAACTCCAGAAAAGCAAAACTTTTCAAAACCTAGGCAAGTTGGACTGGTGCCTTGAATTGGTCATAAAAGGCCATGAAAAAATTAGGGCCAATTAAAGGTTATTGAGAAACAACATGCTCTTAGACTGACCTTTCTGGCCTACCTGGACACTCTCCATTGAGCATGGTCTATTTGGACATTCTTGAAATGACCCCAATTTTTTGAAGTAGGTTGGCATGCCCAAAGGTAGGCATCCATGTCAGGTTTGAACAATTTCCGACACCGTATGAAGTTGCGACACATCCAGTCATTTATCAATATTTTTTGAGCGAGAAAACACCAGAAAATGCAAAACTTTTTGAAAAGTCAAGAAACTTGGCATGGTGCCTTGAATTGGTCACACAAGCCATTAAGAAAGCTGGGGCCATTTCAGGATGTTCAGAAAAAATGTGCTCGTGGCCTATCCAGACACCCTCCATTAAACATTATGTTTTTGGGACATTCTTGTAACTATCTCAACTTTTGCTAGCAGGTGGGCATACCCATGGTTTGCATCCATGCTAGGTTTGAAGGGAAAAAGTATTTAAAATCATAATTAAAAATAGTTACTTAAAACTGTCATACTGGTGAATTATTTTCTGTTTTTTGCGAGCGTCAATGCGCCAGCCCAGTCGGCCAGCCTCCTGTGTGTGTTGCCTTCTATCTGACGCTACTCTTGAAACATATGGAATTTCCTAACTGACACTCGTCGCATGAAGTTATCAACCAAACGGATAGAACGAGCGAAGCAAATAACGTTATGGTCTCGCCTATTGAGCATCCTTAGTGACCACTGAACCTTCAATATTTCAAATATTTTTAAAATCAATCTTCAGAATTTAAAAAATACTCATATTTATTAATCAATGTTCAAAAATTCAGAACATGTTCATAATTTCAAAAAAAATGTACATGTCTTCAATTTTTGTTTGTTATCTCTCAAAGAAAAAGTCAAGAATTTCAGAAAATGTACGTGTTTTCCAGAAATTGTTTATGTGTTTATTCAAAATTTTCACAACTGTTAGAGAAATGATTGGGATTTCAGATGTATTATAATTTGCTTGGAATTTCAATCAATGTTCCCGTTTTCATTTTTTTCAAACATTTCAAAAAATGATGATCTTATGCTTCTGTAACAAAAATTGTTCGCAATTACAAAAATCTTTGTTGTTTTTCCATTTATTTTCTGGAGTTGCAAAAATTGTTCATGTTCCAAAAATTGTTTGTGTTCCCATAATTTGGAATTAGAAAAATGTTGCGGTTTTAAAAAATATTTGCGTTTCAAAGCTGTTCATGATTTTTAAAAAATGTTTCAGTTTATTATATATTTGTTCAAAAATCTGAAAAGTGTTTGGGATTCACACAAAAATCACGTTTTGTTTTCAAAAAAATATATTTTGCGTTGGAAGTTTTAAAAATATTCTCCATGATATTATTATTAAGGCTTCGCTCTGCCATGAAGTCAAAAATGCTGTCTAGGCGAGCTGGTTGTAGCACGTTTGAAGAATTCTGGAGGGCTTGAGTTCGAACTCTTGCCGTCGTAGTTTTATTTTTGAAGCGCTGAAGCGCTGCTATACGCTACCTTAATGGGCCGGCCCAATCGGTGGACTCCTGTATGTATACGTCCAGCGGGGGGTTGTACGACTTGTGAAATTACTATATTACCTTTTATACGTAGGGGGTTGTACCTAAGCGGGTCTCGTTTCACTTTTTAAACGAAAATTGCCTTCTCGGGAAGAAACTGCCATGTTGCTTAGAGAAAATGCCACCCCTCATCACTTCCTCACAACTAAAACTGCCACAAAATCGTTCGCATATGCCATCCTCCCCGGCGAACATTCGCCAGCTAACAGGGTCCAAATCTTGCAAGTAATGTAGAGAATCGTCTCCAAGTCTTCGGCCAGTTACATGATCCAGATCGTTAACGGAGCTCATAAGAATGCAGAGGACAAATCCTGTGCCTAGTTCCGAATTCGTCTCGTAGCGTGGAAAAGGCAAAGGAACTTGCAAGGGGAGAGTAAACACACGTGCAGCGAAGCAGCTCGCAGCACACACGAAACAGAAATTGAAAGGCCCAAGCATAGCGGAGTAGCCGACGGATGCAGACCAAGCAGGCAAGCAAAGGTAACGAGGCGGGCACGCCTTCCCTTCCTCGCCTCCGCTACCCTCCAAACAGCTGAAGAAACTATCCCAACACCCACCTTCCTAGTTCCTACAACCCCCGAAAAAATCCTATAAATCGACGCACCCCGTCCACAAAAACAACAGACTGCGACAACCTCCTCGCCACACACACCCATCCAAATCTCTTCTTCCACTCCTTACCAGCAACAGGCAAGTGCATACGGTAAGGAAGCAACAGGTACAACAGCTCCGGAGATTCTTGGATTGGTTCTTCTGTGAAGATGGTGGCGCCCATGGTGATCGCGTCGGCGGGGCTCCGGATGCTGGCGGGCGTTGCCATGGCGAACCGGGGAGACGGGCTGCCGGCGGCGTCCAGGTGGGACGCGCGGCCCCGTTGCTCCACGTGCAGCGGCACCGGCCGGGAGGAGTGCCTCTGCAGCCGTTGGTCCGACGGCGACGTCGGCTGCGGGACGTGCTCTGGGTCTGGCCGCAAGCGGTGCCGCAGCTGCGGAGGCTCTGGCACCGGTCGGCCGCTCCCGGCGCGACTCATCGTCCAGGAGCAGAAGCTGCCAACCCCGCCCGGGCGACGCGGAGACTACAACTGATATTCGTCGGCAGGTTTCCCAGAGGAAATCAGTTGTGCAATTAGGCAGAACTGAACTAACGCACGAGTGTATATGCAACATGTTCACTCCTTCTCACAAAAGGTTATAGAACTTGCATTTTATTCCATACTTGCATATGGCATATGGCATGCACATATGGTTATAGAACTTGCATTTTATTCCAAATCATGTGCATGCCATATGCAACTCTAATTTATACATTAATTTGGCAATTGAGGACGATTATTGATCCATGTGCCCGTTTTCCGTATTTCAGTTTACCACGTATAGCTTTCATCTACGGAAATGTTAACGCCCACACATGTGAGCGTTTGCACATCGCCCACACGCCTTCGTCACCACTCATTTTGCCACGTATGAATAGATGACATCAGCAGAATTTTTTTTGGTTTTCGGCTTAAAAATGTTGTATCTCCTAAATAAAAAAGCGAACTGAAAATCCGTTTTCACCATTAAATCCGTCTCGACGAGATCTTCAAAACTAGACCACATGTTGATATGTTTTGACGATTTTTTCTTTTGCCAGAAGTTGCCACAATGTTTACACTGCAGTTGCCATAGGGCTTAAACTAAAGTTGCCATGTGGCAATTTTAGTTTGTAGATCATGGCAATTTTACTATTTTGATGATGGCAACTCCAGTACTATGATCATGAAAATTATTTTTTATATGAACCATGGCAATTTTACGTGGATGTATCATGGCAATTTTAGTTTATGGTTCATGGCAAGTCTAGTTTCTTAATTTTCCGTTTTATAAATGTCAAAATTTACTTTTAAATGTAGAAGAAAATAGCTGAAACATATCATGGCAACTTCAGTGCAAACATCATGGCAATTCATATGCAATAGACATGGCAACTTTTAAGCCAAATTTTTTTTTTTGTCAAAACATATCAACATGGGATCTAGTTTCGAAGATCTCATCACGAGGGATTTAATGGTGAAAACGGATTTTCAATCGGATTTTTCGTTTAAGAGATAAAACATTTTAAAAACTGAAAATCCAAAAAGATTCCTGCATGCATGCATGCGATGACGTGACAATCTGTTTACATTAGAGACGTGTGGTGCGTCTCCCTTCCTGCCACACGTGTGGCAGTTAGCACGACCATTCATCTAATATTTGGTGCGATGTTATTCTAAACTACCAGTACTAGGTAGCTTTGCATAGTGGCAGTAGTCCTTGGTCAAACTCGGTTTCAATCTTGTATGCCATATTTTACGAGCATATCATCAATCCAAGGTGACAATATGCATATCATCCTCTACAACACTATGTTCTTTAGTTTTAAAGAGCCCACATTCAATTGAGGTCTTCAATTAAAATCGGGTCATCCGATTTTGACCGGATCAAAAATTTCTCACTGTTGTCTTATTCAATTCTTTTATACTATAAACCATGCTTTCTAATTTTAAAGTCTCACAATTAATTGAGGTGTTGAATTTTGAATTGGGTCACCCAATTTTGATCGGGTCAACAATTTCTGAAAGAGCTCTCCATTTGAAAGTGCAACTATCCCTGGGTGGTTTTGGTAATGATAAACAACATATAGCTCATTGAACTAATGCTATTTCAAGATAAATATTTCAGAAAAGTTCAATGATTGGCATGGCATGGATTAGGAATGTGGACCCCTCAAAATGCTAAGGATAAAGGATTGGCTCAAGCTCTAAAGTTCAAGACTCTACATTTTTTATTTCAGTGATCCAATATCACATTGAGTCCATAGGAAAGCCAATACTATTAAAAGGGGATGAGGTGTTGCTTAATGGCTTGCTTGCTCAAAGTGCTTAGTGATATGCTCCAAGGCCCTCAACCACTTTTTCATATCCACATATGTCCCTGCTACCTCTTGAGCACTGCGTTGGATTTCTCCGAAGAGGAGAGGATGATGCAGTAAAGTAGCGTAAGTATTTCCCTCAGTTTTTGAGAACCAAGGTATCAATCCAGTAGGAGATCACGCACGAGTCCCTTGTACCTACACAAAACGATAGCTACTCGCAACCAACGCGATTAGGGGTTGTCAATCCCTTCACGGTCACTTACGAGGTTGAGATCCAATAGAGATGATAAATAATATTTTTGGTATTTTTGATATAGAGATGTAAAGTAAAAAGTAAAAGGCAAAGTAAAAACAAAGCAAGTAATAAAGTAATGGAGATTGATATGATGAGAATAGACCGTGGGGCCATAGGTTTCACTAGTGGCTTCTCTCAAGAGCATAAATATTCTATGGTGGGTGAACAAATTACTGTTGAGCAATTGATAAAAAAACAAATAATTATGATGTTATCTAGGTATGATCATGTGTATAGGAATCACGTCCGAGACAAGTAGATCGAAACGATTCTACATCTACTACTATTACTCCATTCATCGACCGCTATCCAGCATGCATCTAGAGTATTAAGTTAAAAACAGAGTAACGCCTTAAGCAAGATGACATGATGTAGAGGGATAAACTCATGCAATATGATAAAAACCCCATCTTGTTATCCTCGATGGCAACAATACAATATGTGCCTTGCTGCCCCTGCTGTCACTGGGTAAGGACACCGCAAGATTGAACCCAAAGCTAAACACTTCTCCCATTGCAGGAACTACCAATCTAGTTGACCAAACCAAACGGATAATTCGAAGAGACTTGCAAAGATAACTCAATCATACATAAAAGAATTCAGAGAAGATTCAAATATTATTCATAGATAAGCTGGATCATAAACCCACAATTCATCGATCTCAACAAACACACCGCAAAAAGAAGATTACATCGAATAGATCTCCACAAGAGAGGGGGAGAACATTGTATTGAGATCCAAAAAGAGAGAATAAGCCATCTAGCTACTAGCTATGGACCCGAATGTCTGAAGTAAACTACCCACACTTCATCGGAGAGGCTATGGTGTTGATGTAGAAGCCCTCCGTGGTAGATGCCCCCTCCGGCGGAGCTCCGGAACAGGCCCCAAGATGGGATCTCGTGGATACAGAAAGTTGCGGCGGTGGAATTAGGTTTTTTTGCTCTGTATTTGATCTAACGGTGGTACGTAGGTATATATAGGAGGAAGGAGTACGTCGATGGAGCAACATGGGGCCCACGAGGCAGGGGGCGCGCCCCCCACCCTCGTGACCTCCTCGGTTGTTCCTTGGAGCAGGGTCCAAGTCTCCTGGATCACGTTCGGTGATAAAATCACGTTCCCGAAGGTTTCATTCCGTTTGGACTCCATTTGATATTATGTTTCTCCGAAATACTGAAATAGGCAAAAAACAGCAATTCTGGGCTGGGCCTCCGGTTAATAGGTTAGTCCCAAAAATAATATAAAAGTGGAAAATAAAGCCCAATATAGTCCAAAATAGTAGATAAAGTAGCATGGAGCAATCAAAAATTATAGATACGTTGGAGACGTATCAAGCATCCCCAAGCTTAATTCCTGCTCGTCCTCAAGTAGGTAAATGATAAAAAAGAATTTTTGATGCAGAGTGATACTTTGGCATAATTTCAATGTAAATCTTCTTAATTGTGGTATGAATATTCAGATCCGAAAGATTCAAGACAAAAGTTCATATTGACATAAAAGTAATAATACTTCAAGCATACTAATCAAAGCAATCATGTCTTCTCAAAATAGCATGGTTAAAGAAAGTTATCCCTACAAAATCATATAGTCTGGCTATGCTCTATCTTCATCACACAAAGTATTTAATCATGCACAACCCCGATGACGAGCCAAGCAATTGTTTCATACTTTAATAATCTCAAACTTTTTCAACTTTCACGCAATACATGAGCGTGAGCTATGGACATAGCACTATAGGTGGAATAGAATAGTGGTTGTGGAGAATACAAAAAAGGAGAAGATAGTCTCACATCAACTAGGCGTATCAATGGGCTATAGAGATGCCCATCAATAGATATTGATGTGAGTGAGTAGGGATTGCCATGCAACGGATGCACTAGAGCTATAAGTATATGAAAGCTCAACAAAAGAAACTAAGTGGGTGTGCATCCTACTTGCTTGCTCACGAAGACCTAGGGCACTTTTGAGGAAGCCCATCATTTGAATATACAAGCCAAGTTCCATAATGAAAAATTCCCACTAGTATATGAAAGTGACAACATATGAGACTCTCTATCATGAAGATCATGGTGCTACTTTGAAGCACAAGTTTGGTAAAAGGATAGTAGCATTGTCCCTTCTCTCTTTTTCTCTCATTTTTTTATTTTTTATTATTTTGGTGGGCTTCTTTGGCCTCTTTTTTTTGGGGGGGGCCTTCTTTGGCCTCTTTTATTTTTCATAAAGTCCGGAGTCTCATCCCGACTTATGGGGGAATCATAGTCTCCATCATCCTTTCCTCAGTGGGACAATGCTCTAATAATGATGATCATCACACTTTTATTTTTTTCTTACAACTCAACAATTACAACTCGATACTAGAACAAAATATGACTCTATATGAATGCCTCCGGCGGTGTACCGGGATATGCAATGAATCAAGAGTGACATGTATGAAAGAATTATGAATGGTGGCTTTGCCACAAATACAATGTCAACTACATGTTCATGCAAAAAGCAATATGACAAAAGTAATATGTGTCATACGAACGGAACGGTGGAAAGTTGCATGGCAATATATCTCGGAATGGCTATGGAAATGCCATGATAGGTAGGTATGGTGGCTATTTTGAGGAAGGTATATGGTGGGTGTATGATACCAGCAAAAAGTGCGCGGTATTAGAGAGGCTAGCAATGGTGGAAGGGTGAGAGTGCGTATAATCCATGGACTCAACATTAATCAAAAGAACTCATGCACTTGTTGCAAAAATTTAGAAGTCATCAAAAACCAAAGCACTAAACGCATACTCCTAGGGGGATAGATTGGTAGGAAAAGACCATCGCTCGTCCCCGACTGCCACTCATAAGGAAGACAATCAATAAATAAAATTGTGCTCCGACTTCATCACAAAGCGGTTCACCATA